CGACCATAGCTGGGACCTACGCTATTCTCTTACAGCTGTCTCTTATACACATCTAGATGTGTATAAGAGACAGCCTCATTCCCCGCCTTCTCCCCCGCCAGTTTCCATCGCCACTTCCGCCTTCCTCGCCGCTTCCTTCACCGCCGTCCCCGCCTCCTCCCCCGCCATCTTCCTCTGCCTCACTCCTCCTCCTCCTCCCTCGTCTTTCCCAGCCATCCTCCGCCGTCTTCCTCCTCCTACTCCTCCTCCGCCTCCTCTCTGGCCTGCTTCCCCGCCATTTTTCGTCGCCTCCCTGCTCCTCCTCTTCCGCCAACTTCCGCTGCTTCCCCCTCCAACTTCCGCTGCTTCCCCCGCCAACTTCCGCTGCTTCCCCCGCCAAATTCACCCTGCCCCGAGCCCCGTACGTTTTCGGAGTAGGCTATTTTTGAAACTTAGCGTCACAGTGTACAAGGTAGTGGTGGTTAAAAAAAAAAAACCTTGGTACTCTCTCTAACCCTTGGAACCCTGAATACCTGTAATAACCGACTGTTCAACAAATAATCATGAAAAGTAATTCTCTGGACACTTGTGGGACCATAATAATCCTCTGGGACACTTGGAGGACCGTAGTAATCCTCTGGGACACTTGCGACAACAATAACAATTACTCTGCGTTACCTGAACCGGGATATCGTCCCCTTCCCCTCTCCCCCTCCCCCCCTCCTCTCTTCTCTTTTTGGGGGTTTAAAAACTGTGACTGCCTTGATATATCATCATTGAACTGACCGGCCCCGGGTACATCAGAATCATTCTATTCTGGTCATCGGGTTTGGATCTGGATTTGAAGTCGGGTCTGCATTTCAACAGTTGATGGGTGTACCGACTGAGCTACCTTCTTCACCCGAATACAACAACGTACGGTCATTATTGCTGTATTTAGACTGAAAGCTACCCCAAATACAGCTATAATGACCGTACGTTGTATTCGGATGAAGAAGGTAGGCCCGTTGGTTAATCCTTCCTTTTTTCGAGATCGTAGCATCCTCCCTTTTTGGTCAGAGCATCCGGCTGGATAATCTGAATGTGAAATATCCATCCGGATTATCCAACTGGATATCCAGCTCGATGCTCCGGACCAAAAAAAGAGAGGATTGTAGGAGCGGTTCCGACACGCACAGAACAGTTGCCGTATCATCTGGTATTTTTCCACTTTATCCACCATTTTCACACTATTTATCCACTAAATTTTCATTATTTTTCCTTTATTTTCCCACTATTTTTCCACCATTTTCACACTATTTATCCACTAAATTTTCAATATTTTTCCATTATTTTTCCACTATTTATCCACCATTTTCAGACTATTTATCCACTAAATTTTCACTATTTTTCCATTATTTTTCCACCATTTTCCCACTAGTGTTCCACTATTTTTTTCCCACCGTTTTTCCGGCTTCTTTTGTTTTTGTTTTTGTTTGTTTTCTGTATGGTTCCATTTTTAACGCATGCCCAGAAGGACATTTTCCCACTATTTTATGCGACTTTCTGCCTGCCTTTTTGGATATCCTATTACCCTCTCTTTTTTGGGGGAGCATCCAGCTGGAAAATCTGAATGTGGACTGTATGATGTGAAATATCCATCCGGATATCCAACTAGATGATCCGGACAAAAAAAAGGGAGGATTTTAGGAGTGGTTCCGATACGCACAGAACAGTTTCCTTATCATCTGGTATTTTCCACTATTTTTCCACCCATTTCCGACGATTTTTCCACTATTTTTGAACTCATTTTTGGAATTTCCTCCACTATTTTTTAACTAATTTTCGGAATTTCCTCCACTATTTTCCACCATTTTCCCACTACTGTTCCACTATTTTCGCACTATTATTTTTTCCACAATTTTCCGGCTTTTGTTTTCTGTATTTTTCGCGGATGTCCTGAAGGACATTTTCCACTATTTTATGTCATTTTCTGCCTGCCTTTTTGGATGTCCTGTTATCCTCGCTTTTGAGGGGGAGCATCGGGCCGGAAAATCCGAATGCCGATGAGGTAATGTGAAATGTCCATCTGCATTATCCTCCTGGATTATGTAGCCATATGACCCGGACAGAAAAGGGAGGTCTGCACCGTATATGGCGGCTTGATATCCGGGTGGAGTGTCCTTTTCTAGCAGTGAAGTAGAACTGAATTCCAAAGAATGACATGTCGGAAACCGATGTTACCCCTTGCATTTCAAAAAGCATGTTACTGATTTCAGTGTGTGTCCTTAACCTGTTTTCTTGCAGGCAAAGGTGCAGCTGGCCCATTCGTCGTGCGTGATCGGAAGACCAACCACTCTCCTTTGGGCACTCACAATCTGATCCTGGAGTACCGATTTCGTTCCTGGAACAGTGCTCTCGATTTGGTTCCTTCAACAGTGCTCTCGATTTGGTTCCTTCAACAGTGCTCTCGATTTGGTTCCTGGAACACCGATTTGGTTCCAGGAACAGTGCTCTCGATTTGGTTCCTGCAACAGTGCTCTCGATTTGGTTCCTGCAACAGTGCTCTCGATTTAGTTCCTGGAACAGGGCTCTCGATTTGGTTCCTGGAACAGGGCTCTCGATTTGTTTCCTGGAACAGGGCTCTCGATTTGGTTCCTGGAACAGGGCTCTCGATTTGGTTCCTGGAACAGTGCTCTGCCGGCCTTGTTTTTTTTTTTTTTTTTCCCCTTTTTTTTCCCTGCTGCATAATCTCTGCAACACATGCGATCATTACGACCATCATTTTGTCATGTGAATGCCCGCTGGTCATCATGTATGCCATCTGTTATATGTCTGAATGGCCAACTTGTGTCGAACTCTGGAAGCAGAAGCAATCGTCTGTTTGCGATGAAGCATCAAGAAGAAGTTGATGGGAGTTTGGGGGTATGGTTGGTCCAACAAGTGAAAGTGGAGCCTTTTTCCCTAAGCAGTTGCATTTGCTGCACTTGTGAGGGATGGTGCTGGTGGTAGTTGGGGAGGGGGGGGAGGCCCACTAGATTGTTTGTGGCTTCTATCCCCACCAGATTTGTTTTGTCTTCTGCCCACGGTGAACTCGGTGGTTATTTTGGCTAATACGTAATTGGAAGGCAGAAGAAAAAAAAGATTATAATGGATCATCCTCAACAGCCACATCACATGGGTGGAGGTTTCCACCCCCATCTTGGGGGTGGTGGAGGAAATATGCCCCCCTATGGCGGCCACCCAGGACATGTCCCTTACGGGTACCATGGTCATCATCAGGGGGGCGGGGGTCCATATGGGCTTCCCGGGTACTCTCAGCAGATGCAGCAGATGGGACCGCACGGAGGAGGGGGGGGAGGAGGTGTTCCTCCATTGCAGGCCTTCTTTGCGCCGTGGGAGCCACCGCCGGCTCCGGTCGCTGCACCGCAGGATGTCGAACTGCAGAAGCGCATCGCGAAGCTGGTTGAGTACGCAGCCAAGAACGGGCCGCAGTTTGAAGCGTTGATGAAGGAGAAGCAGAAGGAAAACCCGGCGTATGCTTTTTTGTTCGGTGGGGAGGGTCATGAATTCTACAGGTTCCGGTTATGGGTGACGATGACTCAGAACATGCAACCCGGTGTGCCTGGTGTGGGTGGTGGCGCTGGAGGTGGCGCCGGGGGCGATCCCCACATGGCCGCAAGCTATGGCCAAGTACATGGAGGCCATATGCCAGGCGGACCTGGCGGGTTTCATGAGCATGCGCAACAGCAGCAGGATTTTTATAATCAGGCGATGGGGATGCATCCGAATGCAGGTCATCACCAGGCTCATCCGCAACACATGCATCAGCACATGCAACTGCATCCATACGACTCCAACTATCGGCGAATGGATCAGCAGCAGCAGCAGCAGCAACAGCAGCAACAGCAGCAGCAACAGCAGCAGCAACAGCAACAGCAACAGCAACAGCAATTAGCAGAACAGCACCAGCAGCAGGTTGGTGATCATGGGTATGGCCAGCAGGTTCATGGGGCCCACTCAGGATATGGAGGAGGAGAAGTGCCAGGACCCCATCAACACATGCAAGGTCAGCATTACCATATGGGGGCAGCAGGTCAAGTGCAGGGAGGTACTGCAGGGTACCACATGGAGAATCAGACTGCAGGTGGAGGCGGCGGGGGAAGTGGTAGTCTTGGACCTCCCCGCGGCGGTGGCGGTCTACCTCACGAGCTCGCGACGGAGCTTTTCGGTATCCTTGATGGCTTGACTGGCACCAAGGAATCCATCAAGAGCGCGAAGATGTGGTTCATGTCGAGGATCGGTTATGCCGAGCAATTGGCTGAAGCGATGAGGGACCGTATCAGGCAGTTGGAGGATCCTGAGCGGCAGCTTCACATAGTGTACCTGGCGAATGACATCTTGTTCAACAGGTAAAAGTTTTCTCACTTCTTGCCCACAGAGGAGAATGCCGTCAACCCCGGCCGTCTGGCTCAGCTCAGTTGGTACACCTATCAACTGTTGAAAACACAGACCGGAGTACAAATTCCTATCCAATCCGACGAGTAAAATATACACCTCTGAAAGTCTGAATCTAGTTGGGGCCGGTCAGTTCGGAGACGATTTTATTTATTTATTTTATTTTTCTTCAAAAAAGCTGCCTTCTCCTCATTGGGGGACAGCCATATATTTTTTGTCAGCTCACATATCTTTTAACTGGCGTTCTGCCATGTCATGGAACATACCTTTCTTTTTCAGGAGACAATATTTCAAGGCCGTCCGTGGCCGTCCGTCGCGGCTTTAAAAAGGGGACGAAGACAAACGAGAATGCCATCAAACCCCGTACTGCTTCTGTTGCAAAAAGTCATTTCGTCAAAATGGAGACGTTTTCTATATCTATATCTATAGATCTATATCTATAGATCTATATCTATATCTATATACTCTTTACTAAAGAGTGCAGCGGGTCTTGCATGACACCCCTGCGAGGCCAGACTTACAGCCTTGGGAAAACGCTCGGGACAGGGGGGGGTGTGACCGTCGCCGGTTGAGAAAAGAAGACGAAGATAAAAAAGAATGCCATCAACTCCCTACTGCTTCTGTTGCAAGCAGTCATTTCGTCAAAATGGAGACGTTTTCTATATATTAATCTCTCTCTCTCTCTATATATATATATACTATACTATATTTGAGCAGATCTGTGACAATTGGCGTGATTTCAGAGTTGCAGCAACCATGCTTGTCCGCCAATTGCTTTCTCGTGGCCATGCTCCGTCAATGCTCCGTCAACATTAGCTCGTGGATGGACTTGTTACATTCGGGCTCGCCAGCGTCGACACCCTGTACATGCAACTCGTCTTACACAGTTGTTTCGACGTATGATTCGCTGGTCCGTGCATCATCCTCGTTCACCTTCTCCTCCCCCCTCCTTCCCCCCTCCTCCT